GCCGTGCTGCGGGCGCACAGGAATCAGAGGTTAATGGGAGGGTCAGGTGCAGAAAGGCACGTCTTCAGTCTAAAAAACGAGCATGCCCATCTATCATGAGACAACTGAGAAAGATCTTAAAAACGAGCATGTCCATCTTTTATCATGAGTAACTTGAAAAAGATACACAACTAGGCATTTCAGAACCATCATTAAAAATACCTTTAAAAAAAAACTACCAAGTTACATAGGTACCCGTCTAATTTAGAGCCCCAGACTCTGAGTCACGCGTGACTCACCCAGCCGTCGGTTGACTCACCTATCGTCGTACTCGTCCCTGGAGTACCTGTCCTCCCGTCGGCGGCGGTCGTAGTCGCGGTAGTCCTCGTCCGACGACTATCGACACTGTCATACCGGTGCCGGCGCTCGTAGTAGCTCCTGAGAGGGGGTTGGGGGGGAAGCGAAGGGGGTGAGGGGTAGAACACTAGGGTACGAGAGGCTTGAGACAGACTCAAGGCACATTCTACCAGCTGGACAAACGTTCATTGCAGCACGTCTTGTAGGCTGAAACAAAACGCTTGAATAGCTTGTTAACTTCCAATTTACTTCCATAGGTAATGCGTAACCATGTAACGGGTGCGTGAAAAGTGAAAGGTGCTTGTCTTTTGGTCAGCAAGTGTAGGCAGAGAGGTGCATAACATGCTTACGTTTCTTATTTTGTTGCTTTTGAGGGACAAACGTAGTTAATGAACAAACAAAAAAAACTGTTACCTACAGGGTGTCCCGAAATTGATGCGCAGTTGTTTTATCCTCAATAACTTATAAGGTGCTCGAATTTATTCCACGGCTTATATGTTATCATAGTCCCCATTCAGTTGCATACACGGCCTATTGCACTCTAGCGTGTCACGTTTCAGGTTGTCAAGAGTCTCTCCTTTGAAACAACGCCATGCCGTTTATATCTTCTGAAACAGCCTCTTCTCTGAGCTAGCCCGTGGAAGCTTGCTGAGCTCTTTTCTGACGATCGTCCAGATAATTTGGATCGAAGACAGGTCCAGACTGTTGCCAGACCATGTCCCCTTCTCCCAGAGACCTGGGAGCCTCGCTCGGCACCCAGCCCTGGGTCTTCCTGGCCTGATAAGCTGGAGCCCTTTCTTGCTTGAAAATGGCCCTGGACATGTCTGACAAAAGTTTGACTCTGGTTTTTGAACCATTTACCTTTTCCCTCAGCATCTTTGTGGCATCAGTCTTCTTCAGCACCTCGCTGACATAGTAATAAGCAGTCACGGTCTGTTCCCGAGGCACCTCGTGAAGCTCAGAGCGTCTCTGTAGCTCATCATGCTCCAAATGAGATTCTTCAGCAGACGTTTCAACGTAACGACAGCGGACTCCTCAGAGCTGCCGTTGGCCCACATTTCGATCGTTCTGGCAGTTAGAGGCTTAGAGACCACAAAGGGCACATTGTCACTGAAAAGGACGCATTTCCAGTCCTGAATGGTCCCGTTTATTGTGGGTCTTGGCGAAATCCAGCTGCCTGCACTTCTGGACCACGGTAGGCCAAGTCTGCATCTTGAAGCTGAGCAGCTTCAGCATCAAGATAGTCTTCAAATACTGGTGGAGGGTCGATTTGGATGCTGGGACATGCATCTCATTCAGTTTTCTTGTCAGCGATGTTGAATGGTGCTTTTTAAAGGTCGACTTTGCAATCACGATTTTCGCCACTCGGCTCAAGGCAGTCTTCCGCCCTCGAACTGTGCTGTTCTTGAGTGTCTCTCCTGATCGTTTGCGGTCCATCCAAAGTTTAATTGTCGCAGAGTTGACGCCCAATTCTCTGGCATCCGGAACCTGGGTCACACCGTCCTTGATCATCCCCACCGCGCGGTAGCGGATCGGTAGTTTGTACCTTTTCACTTTTGGTGATATGCAGTTTCTCCACGTTGCCTGTCTGGACAAGAGTGGCCTCCCGCGCCCACTACCGGCCGCGGTCGGATTAGCCGCTTGGTTCACGTGATCGTGTGACCAGCAAGATGTCCGTGGTGCCAGAGCCGGTAAAATTGCAGTTGTTCAGCACTCAGGGGGACAACATAACATGCGGCACCAACCGCGCATCAATTTCGGGACACACTGTATATGTCGCGACCCACCGGGAACTACTCAGTACTCACCTATCGTCTCTGTCGCGGTCGCGATCGCGATCAATCCGGTCCCGATCGCGATCAATCCTGTCGCGATCTCTGTCCCTGTCGCGCTCTCGATCGCGATCTCTTTCACGATCTCGATCGCGATCCCTGTCGCGATCTCTATCTCGTTCACGATCCCTATCTCGATCACGATCACGATCTCTATCTCGCTCTCTGTCTCTGTCGCGATCTCCTCTGTCCCGTCTCTCCCCTCCACGATCTTCGTATCGTCGGTCGTAGCGGTCCCTCTCCCGGCGTTCCTCCCTATCCTCCCGGGTGCGCGTGTCCTCGCGGTCCTCCGTTTCCTCATCCTCGCCGTCTCCGCGGCGCGCCTGCTGTTCGGGCCGGCCCGGCGGGGGAGCGCCTGGCTGCGCGCCGGCCGCCGCCGCCGGCAGACGGTCCTCGGAGCCGATTGTCTCGGAGCGTTGCTGTCGCGGCCCGTCCGGCGAGCGGCGGATCTCGCGAGTATCTCGCGCGTCGCTCGGAGTCGGCCGGCTGGGTGGCGGTCCCCTGCCAGCCGCGGCGGCCTCGTCAGCCGCGGGGCCGTCGGGCGGCGGTCGGGCGGCGCCGGGAGCGTCCACACCGGGGGGTGGAGCGGTCGGTTTCACGGCGGCGAATGCTGAGAGGCGGCCGGAGGGCGGGCCTGTGCCGGGCACCACGCGCGGCTCTGGACCAGCGGCGGTGGCGGCCGGGGGCGGGGGCGCCGGAGAGCCGTCCCCCTGGGGGTGGGTGCGCTCCAGGCCGGCAGACGGCGGCGGCACCTGGCGGGTAGATGGGATACACGTCAGTCACTGAGGAGAGCTGAGTGTGGTGTGTGGTGAAACCGAGCTCGAATTATATAGCGTTTCAATTGAAATTTTGTCCCAATTATATGCGAGAGCAGATATGCCCGATTGCCAAGCTAATCAGTGCCTATTGAAAACGACGCCACGATCCTGCACTCCGACTTTATCCGCAGCCTGGTCACCAACAACACTTAAACCGTGAAACGAAAATACGAATAAGGACAAGGAAAAACGAAGCGATAACTGTTAACAGATCAACCGAGCAGACAGCGGCAGTGCGAGTAATTCAACACAGATATCAGCCACATGGCACTCCCCAAATATCCGATAACATTACAGGCATTGCGCGGACTATATCTAATCATAACATAACACACTCGACGACGAAAAAGTACTGCGAGAAGTTATCGACAACGAAAATGTACCGCGAGTGGTTACATTGGACGTCACTAGACACGATACGGAAATTAATGTCACACCTACACGGCACATGAAAGCTGAAATATGACCGTGACTGCCACTAATGAAATCTAAAAAAAAAAAAATGAAAGGGAGTCCGGTGTAATTATATGACGGCAAAGCAAACAGCGTGACAAACACAATGCTTTTCTTTTTAGTAACGAGGTCGCTGTAACAAAACCACTCCCGCAACTGAGCCGGTCTGATCACTACCCTCTGATCTATAGCCTCCCACGCCACCCGTCCTGCGCCGGTACCCACCTGACTGGCGTGCGGCGCTGTCTCCTCGGGCGGCGGCACCTCCCTGTTCTCCGGCTCATCTCCCACAGCGGGCGGCGCGCGGGGTCCTCCAGCGGTACCCAGCGGGCTGCCGCGCTGCTCCGGAGGCGGGCCGCGCGTCCCACCCCCACTGCGGTGGGACGCTGCTGAGGCCACGGAGGACGGCCGCTCCGTCTCAGAGATGGAGCCACGCGCCGAGAGAGAGCCCCGCGCCGGCGGCGGGCCGCCCTCCACCGACGGATGGCGGGTCGGCAGGCCGAGAGGACCCTCCGGAGCGCTGGAGGGAGGCGGGGCGGCCGGCGCCGGGCCGGGGCGCGGGTCGTCTCCGGCCCGGCCCCCGGTCGGGGTCATACGGTGACCCAGCGGCGGGCCGGGCGGCGGAGGGGCGCCAGAGCCACCGGCAGGGAACTCTGAAATGGACAGAGCGGGCGTCAGACTAGTGGTCATAAGGGAAGAAAGGAAAAAATTAAACCTACACATATGGCAAAATACTACGTAAATGTGAACGCACAAATGATATACCTAACACGCAACATAGCGCCAAAACACATATGAGCACCGATAGAGGTAAGCCATCTTTCTCTCACAAACCATGTTGGCTAAAAGTTTCACGTAATACAAGTTTCAACATCCTTTGACGCAAGCACGGGGGAAAACCAAACACAACTTTCCCGTTTGGGTCGCTTACAGTGAATCTTAGTAGCCCTAGCCTAACACCATACCATACACATACATCAGCCAACAGCTGGAGACGGTTTCAGCAAAAAAAAAAAAAAACGCGGTCTGATGATCTGATAATCCCCGGTACTGCTGGTTTACGGTTACTCATCGCCATTTAGCAGGACGATTGCCTCAGAAAATGGCGGCGTAATACAGACATCCAGGAGAAATCGGATCAACCTACCGCAAATAAGGACTGGAAGGATAATCGTGGCGGGGGGGGGGGAGTGAAGTCCATCGCCTAGATGGGAAAACGCAAAAAAAAAACGAGCTTCTATACCACCGAATTCAATACAATTTGAACATATGGCATCGAATATACGCTACAACTCTCCGCGTGCTTTGGTAGACTGTTAACTGCCGAGGGTGCAACTTTTCCTCGCGACCCTGCACTCGTGCAAAGCTTGTAGCTCGCAACATTTTTCGTTCGATCCAAATATCTCGCAGTTTCCTCTTCGAGAGGAAACAGGATATCACTTCTCACGGTAGTTGCCGAATACTATACTACGCGCGTTAATCACCATAATTGCTCTCCGGGGAAATTTCTCATGCTCAAAGGTCCACTCCCAAAATGGCCAACCCAAATGGTTCGGTCATTTAACCGAGGTGAGCCTACGAGAGCATGAATATCGATCACTGACAGCGGGCGCACGTGCAGCGTAAATGCCAAATCAACGTCAACCACGGCCCTGCCCGTTCACGGCTCACAAATGTCAGAACACCGCACTCAGCTGGCCATTTATCTAACTAGGACCCGAAACGGTTTTAAGGGGAGAATCGCCATCTTTGAAACCCGCCTATCTCCTTTTGAATTTGGTAAATTTTGTCGCACTTCTACCACTTCTGCTGCAAACTAAGAAATTTATCGAACTTTGGGCATCATTTTTCCGGGCGACGACAAATTAACAAAACTCCTACGAATATATGACACCACTCATGCGGGCACTGACACACTGACGCAATCCTTCAGGGAGCCGACTCAAAGACACAACACAAACATACTCACACAACACAGACATACTGACCCAACAGACATACTGACACCACACCCTTCCGAGTGCTGACAGCAGCACAATACCATCTAACACTGACACAATGTGACACATGCTTCACCACAGACACAATCACCCACACCGCTCACACCACTTAGAGCACCAGAGGTCAGACATCACCACAGTGACTCGCACCAGGGGTCACGAGGTCAGGCACACGGACCCCGCAGTCAGACTGTCTGCGCCGCCGGAGCGGCTGGTGGGTCGCTCATACGGCTTCGTTAGTCGCTTCCTGCCCCGGCTGGGGATGTCGAATTGGTGCGGGGAGGCAATACGGAAAACTGAGGTAGATACTTTGCAGTTTGTGTGTTTTACCGATTCGTGCGGGTTGGGTTTTGTTCGTGCTACAAATTTGGGAAGGTGTAACATTTTGCATCTGCAGCATCTCCATGGTAATAAATACGAGTGTAGAGATTTAAAAACAGAGTGGAGTCCGGATGGGTTAATTCCATTAGATTTAAACTCGTGGATATGTGCCGACAATTGGCAGCTACATTCAAAGACGCATGCCATTTTCGCGTGGACAAGAGAAACAATATCATATGACCGATGCCTATTCAGCTTCACCATTTACCGGTTGGAACTGCATCAATGAGAACCATCAGTCGCCACTTTTCCACGACTTAAGATCAACACCAACCCCCGTTACCATTACTATTTCCACATCGTTAAGAGGCCATCCTGACTTGTTGCCGCGTCTAACAGTGTCGCCCAGACAACCGTCAGCCCACCCACTTCCATCTACATTCTGTTCTATCGACCGAGCCCGTCATGTGGCACAGGGAGCCACTGCGGCCGCCTCATAATGTCCACGGCGAGTGTAGGCGCCGCTGCCAGGCGACAATACAGACCACTGCATTTAGACCGCGACGTAACTACACACTGGCCACTGGTACTGGCCACTGGGTAACCACTGGCCACATTTTAGTTATTTCTGCTCTATGAAGCGCTGGAGCTGGGTGGGTCAGATGTTTGAAATATGCGACAGGAAGGGTTGGTTGGAGATGGCTCATAATCAGGCGCTCTAACCCGAGAGCTTTTCCCCGCAAAGATTTGAAATATCATTGGGTGTCTTGGAATGTCACTTATTACAAGCACCGGGGATACAATGAAACATACTAGCTTATTGCTACTGAAATACTGTTGCTGCGTCCCTGCGGTTCTTTCCTTTCATGCGTGACAAATCACAGTTCCTTCCTCCCCACCTATGTGAGCCACTTAGCGCTCCCTCTATCCCGTGTGAGTCATTCACCTCTCCTTCCCCGTGCTTCCCTCCCTATCTTATGCCCTGACCACCCTCCCAGTCTCTACTCACCGTTGTGCGTCGGCTCGGCCTCCCCGTTCATCTGTAGGTGCGCCACACCGGCCGTCACAGCTTCCACCTGCGACCCGTCGTCGTCCCCTCCTCCGAAGAACACCCCCACAGTGCCCAGATCCTCCTCCGCTCCCGCTGAAGGAGTCGGCTGGGAGGAGGCGGCGGCATGGGACGGACCGGGCTCGTCACCCCAGCCCCAGCCGTCGCTGGAGTACGGGTCTTCGGTCGAAGGTGCCGGGGGACCGGGCGGACCAGCATGTGGTCCTGGTGGTCCAGAGTGTGATCCTGTTGGTCCCTGATGCGGTCCCGACTGTCCTGGGTGCTGTCCCGGCGCTCCAATCTGCTGCCCCGCGCCAGGACCCGCAGCGGGCGGCGGCAGCGGCTCTTGTTGCGTCTCAGCAGCATTGTAAGCCGGCTGCTCGCCCCACCCACTGTCCCATCCCCAGTCACCACCGTTCTGCGCACCATAACCTCCGTACTCTCCCGCGGGAGGCGCGTCTAGATTCGTTGAGTAAGGCTCGCCCGGGGCAGCACCGGACGGAGGGTAGCCCTCGCCGGCCGGGGGGAGATAGCCGTGACTGTTCGGCGGGTACTGTTCCGCTCCCGTGTACCCCTCGTTGGAGTAGGGTTCCGCCGCACCACTGGCCGGCGGGTAGCCCGACAGATCAGGGGCGTGTCCCGTCTGAGCGCCGTACTGATCACCAGCCACCTCGTGCGCGGCGTACGGCGTATGCGGCGTTCCCGGGTACCTATCCGGCGCTGCCTGCGGCGGCGGATGCGCCACATGCGCAGCGTTCGCCGGCGGCGGGGCGCCAGGGAAGGTGCCCGGCGGCTGGCCGGACGCGGAGTAAGGCACCTCGGGCGGGTAGCTGGCCGGCGGCGGACCGGCTGGCGGTGGGTAGCCGGTCCGGGCGGCGTTGGCCGGCGGGCCGCTGGCTCGGGCCATGTTGGCGGGGGGTCTGCTGGCCGCCAGGTGGGCCGGGAAGGGCTCGGCGCCGGCCGGCGGAGGAGCGCTGCCAGAGGCCGCTCCCGCCGGCGGGGGGTAGTTCATGGCTGGTGGGTGTGGCGCCGCCGGCTGGTGTGGTGCCGCCGGCTGGTGGCTGGGAGGGAAGCCAGGGCCGGAGCTCGCCGGAGGGGCGTATCCGGCCGACGCCGGCGGAAAGTGCTGCGGGGGAGCGTGGCTGGTGGGAGGCGCGGACACTGGAGTGACGGGCGCAGCGTCCCAGCCGGTGGAATTCCAATCCCACTGGCTCTCCCCCTGTAACAAACACACATCCATTAGTGACTGACATAGACATCCTGTTCTCAAACGAAACAATTCAATAGCAGAGGTATTAGCATACACACTTAAATGGTTGTCAAATACTAGGATTCACTTGCTGCGAAATCAAATTCCCTATGCAACATTGCTAGACTGAAGGTAACCCTGCCCAAACAACCAATGTATTTTTATGGTGAACAAACACATATTAGGATAAATCATAGCTGTGAACAATAGCAGAACTTACATGCTGAGCTGATGCACTATCTGGCGTGAACACCTTCACATTCTGGGCTCCCGCATCCCACGCTGGTGATGGCTTATCTGAAAAATAAATGAAGCTCACTAAGAACATGTTTCAATGCATAAGTTGCAGATCAAGTCACCTTCCACCAAGCCCCATTGCATTTCTAACATCACAAGTTTTAAGCTTCATCCTAATAGCCAGTGAGAAACCAACCAGGCAGGCAAATAGATCAACTGAATTCTAAACTCTGATGTGCGACACTTTTCAAACCAAAGTAAATGCAAATTCTCATGAATACCTATTTGGTAGCTACTTACTTCTGATGGGCATTCGGTTGTGCCCATGCTGTCCAGTGTTTCTGTACATGTCAGGCTATCTGAAATAAAAAGTAACAGTAAATAAAACATCATAGTAGAACAATAATGAGACCATGACCAAATATCCAACAGGAATACCTATCAAACTTCTCTTATCCCAGGCCTGGCCATTATGAATTAATGTTGTATATATAAGAGTTCAGTTATGGATTCATCAGATACATGCATCAACAGAAACATTATTTACCTTAAGTATTTACCTTAAGTAAAGGTCATTAGGTACCCTTTCGAGTAATCAGACCCTTTACTCAGAGATTATATATAAATTAGAAAGCACAACTTAACCCCAGTAAACTTTTGTCCTTTTTAGTATCACCAGCATATTATTCAGATTCTTCCAATGCAATGTACCAACATAGGTGCTGGTAGGTAAGTATCATTATAACACACATGACAGGAATAGCATGAGACATAATGCAAAAGTTTGAATGAAAATGTGGGAGCAATCGCAACTTATTCATTAAGCCAATACTTTTTATCAAAATGTAAGACTAGGTATTGCATACACTCAGCTTAACCGTGCGAATTGTGAGATGCCGGTAAAATTCCTACCCATTACTCCTGCTTGTTTTCTTGTGAACCGGAATACTAAGATATTGGTTAGGTACTTGCTAGCATGAGCAGATTCAATGATTCCTTGATTTTGTAACTTAAATTATGAGTGAGCTGCACAACGATCATGCAAAGTCACAAAAAAGTGTGGTAGGTAGGTACCTATCAGCACACTGATAGGCAATACTGCAACACCCGAGTAAAAAAAAAACTGAAAGACCACAAGGTAAGCATGCATTTTTGACAACCATAGTAAATGAAGTTTTGAATAAGCCTACAACTACAAATCATTTCACACAAAAATATAGGTATATTGAAACGAAACATGTAGGTATCTGGAAGTGTTTATAATCATATGTGTATGTAATCGGAATGGGCCAAGCAGCTTGACCAAACAATTACTTTTTGAACCTTAAGAAACGAAGACTCGAGCTCACCTCATTGACGAGAAGAAACGCAACACAGGTCTACAGTTTCAACGACCTCATCAATTACTTTAATTATACCATATGGTTCACAAATATGATAATCCTGTGTAAATTCTCTACAACACCGGTCACCGGTACATAAACGGCGCGCTGAGACAATTGACGAGGCGAAATGTGGGACAATACTTATTTTATTCAGCGACCATTTGTACTTTGAAAGAAAAAATCCTATCAAATATGAAAACACGTAACATAGGCAACCTTACTTCATTTCTTATATGCGAATAAATTCTTCTTGGAAGCATAGTCAGTTACAAATAAAAAAGAAAAATTAGAGCGCCTGAAATCGAAACCAGTTGGATTTCAAATTCACTTTAAGATGAAACAAATCGCACAAATATCAATCAAGACGCATTTCAGCAGCTATTTGCGACATGCCTATATTTTTTGTATTTCTTACACAACCAAAAAAAATCCATTCTCAACGAGCTGCTATCAATAACAAGTACTTCTTCAAGAGCAAGTGTGAACACGAAGGAAACCTATGCAAAGGCTCTAAAACGCAGTTCACACTTGCCCGTAAGGTCTGCCGGTGACGGGCCCGACACCGTCAAAACGGCCGAAACCGACGGAGCGACGGCCGTCAGGTCGACGGGCATGTGTGAACCGGCAGCGTTTGACGGCCGGCAACAGCTGACTGCGCCGGCGCCGGACCTGACGGCCGTCGCTTTGGAAAGTTCAGCAATGTTCAACTTTTGACGGTGACGGGCCCGTCGGTTTGAATGTCTGCGTGTTGGAAGAAGTGGAAAAGGAACGTTATCATGCAGCATGAAGCTTAAATGCATTTTTAAGATGATTTATATAATTTTCTATCCATTTGTTGAGATGAAAGTGTTTATTACGGCACGATATCTTGAGATTCGCTCCCTGATTTAAGTCAGCGAACCGATGTGTCTTTCATTAAAATAAAATTGCAGCATTATTTGACATAAAAATGTAAAAGCGTGGTATTTAATTTCTGTAATTCAAAGAATATTTTTAACTTCTCGGCCTCTACCCTCCCCCATCCCCTTCCCCCATCTGCGTCCATCTCGAAAATGGTGCGCCATTTCTGTCACAACATATGGCAGCCAATGGGAGCTACCAAATCTCAACTTTCATTTGACGGGCTGCAGGCCGTCAGGTCGACGGTGACGGGCCCGACACCGACAGACTGACGGTCATGTGTGAACTGCGTTTAACTGGAACCTCCACTCAGAGCACTTCAGTGATGGGCTATGTGCCAAACCAAACGGGCCCTGGAACCCAAGCAAGTGCTGGCCACTCACAAGACTACCGCATGATGGTCCGTGAAGAGCTTCTCGAGCTAGAAGAGCGCAAGAAAAGGCGGTCCTCCGTCGTGATCCGTGGGTTGAGAGCAGGGTCTCCGAGTGAAGCTGCATCTAGATTCGGAGAAATCACACAGTTTTTGATATCAGAAAAAGTGACACTGTCAGACATCTGCCGGATCAAGAATGATGCGGATTTGTACAGAGGCAACATCCACAGCTCTAGACAAAGAAGACTCATTCTGGAACAAGCAAAGGACCTGAAAAACTCTCAATTCTCACACGTTTATATCAAACGGGACCTCACGTACATGCAGCGCATGCAGCTCCAGACAAGATACCAGCAACGCCAAAGAGAGCACACCACCAGTCAGCACCGCAGTACTGAAGTATCCCAGGCCGAGGGGACAGCCAGCGCTCCTGGAAGGAGGTCAGCGGAGAACACAAGCTCACCAGAAGTACAAGCTTCAACACCGCCAGGGAGCGGCCCCCCTCGGTCACTTCCGTCAACCGAGGCTCACGATCCTCCTCAAAGTGAGATCGCGCTCGGGCAGCCCGGTGCACCTCGCCAGCCCTCAGACATAGCCGGCGAACCCGTCACTCAGGCTCCTCTGCAGCGGGTTACCGAGACGTCACCACTCCAGCCTGCCCCACCGCCTGGTCCCGACCCAACGCGCCCGGGCAATGGAAGCTCGGGAAACGGAGGGCGCTAGGAAAGACTGAACATTCGTTTGCTATCACATTTACTCATTGCAACATGAACGGCTTATGTGGCAAACTACTGAGCTTACAAGATAGTGTTCTCCGTCCATGCTCAACAGACATACTGCTTGTCTCAGAGACTCATCTAACAGAAATCATAAGCAACGCATCCATTCATCTCTCTGGCTACACTGTCTTGCGCAATGACAGCGGATCATCTAGTACTCACGGAGTATGCGCGTTCATAGCTGAACACATACATTTCGATCAGGTGGACACATCATTCAAGAATGTTCTTTCATTTCGTCTGACGAAGTTCAACGTCTTTGTATACGTGATCTACAGACCTCCCTCACTCACAGCAGCTGAAAACAACTTACTGATCTCATTTCTCCAAGAGAGCTGCTTGGGGAGGGAATCAATTCTTCTTGGTGACTTCAACCTGCCGTCACTGAACTGGTCATCACCTGAGGGCATGCTAGGGGAGGGAACAGCGTCAGACATCCGCTTTTTGGACCTGTTTGACTCTCTTGGCATGACGCAGTGGATCACCGAGGCTACTTTCCCCCGCTCTGGTAATATACTGGATCTCATCTTCACCACCGAGCAGGACAGAATTGGAGAAGTTTCGGTTCTCCCTCCACCTCCCGGAAGTGACCACTGCACCATTCTCTGTCGCTATATCTTCGACATCGACTTGCAGGAACGACCCACCTGTCCGGCCCCTCTCCTGGCTTGGCATAGAGGAAAGTATGATAAAATAAACAGTGCCCTCGCCGATGTTGATTGGGAGGTAGAACTTCGGTACTTATCAGCCCAACAGGCATTTGAGCATCTGCTGGGAATAGTGACTTCGTTGATCAAGAGGTATGTTCCCACCAGGAAACAAGGTTCCCAGTCCAAGAAGCTGCCTTGGAAGAGAAACCCCCCAAGCTCACTCAAGCAAAAACGGTCATCGGCATGGGCGGCCTACAAGAAAGCCAGAGAAAACTACGGCAGGAGAGCAGCAATCACCAAGTCTTTACTTACTTCATTCCAAGAAGTGAACAAGGAGCTACGCAGCTTTGCCTCGCGCTCTCAAATCGACTATGAGAAGTCACTGGTGAGTAAAATGAAAGACAGCCCGAAGCTCCTGCACTCTTACCTGCGCCACAAGAAGCAGTACCGTTCTTCGGCAGGTCCTCTGAAGGCTCCCTCTGGAGCAATCACAGACGACCCGAGCTCGATGGCGGACATCTTCGTGAACGCTTTCGCAAGCGTTTTCTCGTCTGAGGTTCCGCGAAACCCCTTCACTCATCAGCTCTGCGACTCTGTGCTGGCAGAAATCGCTTTCACTCAAGCTGATGTTGAAGCAGTTCTTCGCCATCTGGATCCCAACTCAGCAATGGGCCCAGACGCCTTCCATCCACAACTATTGAAGGCGTGTTGTTCGACCTTGTCATACCCACTGTACCTCATCTTCTGTCGAACATTGTCAACGGGCTCCTTGCCGCTGATGTGGAAACTCTCACACGTGGTACCAATATTCAAGAAAGGCTGTCGCTCGGACCCATTGAATTATCGTCCCGTTAGCCTCCTGTCAGTACCCGCCAAATGTCTTGAACGGCTCATTTTTCAAAGACTGCACTCGTACCTGATGGACAACTCTGTTCTTGATGACGCGCAATTCGGATTCAGGCCCGGACGCTCCACCGAGGATCAACTTCTCCTCACGTACGATTTCATCTGTAAGCAGAGAGACAGTGGGCATGTAATTGATTTAATCCTGTATGACTTTTCTAAGGCTTTCGACATGGTGTGTCATTCGATACTCCTTCAAAAACTGCGCTGCATTGGGATTCGTGGCGAGCTCCTGACTTGGATTCAGGACTTTCTGACCGGCCGCATCATGCAAGTCGTGGTGAAACACTCACTGAGTTCACCAATGGAGGTGAAGAGCGGCGTTCCGCAGGGGTCCATACTCGGACCAGCCCTCTTTCTGATTTTTATCAACCATGTCGCGTCCCGCCTACACGCCGCCTACAAGATATTCGCAGATGACTTGAAAGTCTACATGTGCATCTCTGACTCAGGGTCCCATGCAACCAAGTTCCAGGAAGATATAGATCTCCTTCAAGAGACCGCAGCATCCTGGGGTCTGAGCCTAAATCAAAAGAAGTGTGCGGTCATGAGATTCCAGCGCAGGTTCCACACGTTAACGAGACCAGAGTATCACCTCGATGGATCAGTAGTTCGATGGGCTCGTTCCCATTTGGATCTTGGTGTCACGATCGATGACGATCTAAAGTTTCACGAGCACGCAAGAGTCGCTGCTAGGAAGGCTGGAGGCATAGCTCACAACTTCTTGAAATCGACACTGTGCAGGGAGCGCGACTTCATGACGCACGTCTTTGTGACACATATTCGCCCCATCATTGAGTACGCCTCGACAGTCTGGAACACAGGCTACATTGAAGACGTCCGACGGCTTGAAGCGGTGCAGAGGCTCTGGACACGTCACATCAAAGGCCTAGAACACAAAACATACGAGGAGCGTCTCAAGGTACTGGATTTATACTCGATCAAAGGCAGACTTCTCCGTGCAGACCTTATCAAGACCTGGAAAATCTTCCACGGCCTGTCTCCTATCAAGCCGTTGGACCTATGGGACATGGCTCCAGCCGGTCGCACACGTGGCAACACCCTCAAAATCAAGGTCCAGAGGCGCCAGCTCGACTCGACAAAGCGGTACTTCACGGACAGGATCGTGAAGGACTGGAATGCACTACCCAACTCGACTGTCACGATGAACTCTCTGGCGGAATTCAAGTCATCCCTGGCAGGAATACTTGGCGACAGGCTCTATGAGTACCTCGCCTGAGGACGTGAAGAAATGAAGTACCTGCCCGAGGACAAGCCCTTGGACCGCGAAGAACCACACTGCACAGTGCACACACTTCACTGTCAAAACGACCCATCTACTCATACATGCTTCTATGCAGACGCACTTTTCCGACCCCCACGAGTCCTTCTCCTAAGAAACATCTAACGTGGGGCGTTGGCGCGTCTCTACCATACACGGTTTCCTTCCCCCTTCCAATTCCATTGGACCGGGCAGGGAAACCAAACAGGTGAGTTAAACAGGTGAGTTACTAAAATATGACCATCTCTAATTTGGAACCTTTTAAACTGTTTTCGTTATTTGTTGTTTATTTAAATTCATCCAAAAATGCTTGATAGGCTTGAAACAATTACAACAAACCTAAAAAAAAATAAAATCATATTTAAGAAATGAACAGCAATTTAAGAAATGGGTGAAGAATATCACATTTATAAATA